TTTTTTTGCATAAATCTGTTAATCAACCTAAGTTCTGATCAGTTGACTCTTTAAATGCCAAGTTCACAAATTATGTCACTTATTTCGTGAATAGTAATAACACAAAATTATATTTTAATATTTTAAGTATAAAAAGTAATTGTGGAAAGGATTTTTTATAACCTTTTATCACAGTCTTGGACATGTGAATGATTAGTAACAATGTTGCCTTTGATGCATTGTTGGATTTTCTTTTTTTTTCCCCTAATTTGGTTGTGGTTATAATGTGGTTATAATGGAAGTCAAAGGGGCCAAAACAGCCGCCAACAGTAAATTGGGGAAAAAACAAAATGAATCAAAAACAATGCATCAAAGGCAATATTGTTTCACATGTTTTCACACCAAGACTTTGATAAAAGGAAAAAATAAATAAAAATACAATCCAAAATTACTTATTATATTAAAAATACATCATTTTATGTGCTTTTTCACCAAATCAGTGATATAATTTAGGAATTTGGCTTAAAATCCTGTAATTAAAGTTGAGTTAAAATCCTGTAATTTATGCAAAAAGAAAAAAAAAAGAAAAAAAAAAGAAAATATATTTATCTGATGCATTTTTATAGCAGCTTAATTAAGTGGATGTTTTCATCCCTAACACAACAAAAGGGTAGTAAATTTGATTTAGTAAATAAACGATTCTGGATTGTCTGCATATATATTTGTTTGCACCTGAATTGACCTTTACTTGCCTGACTACTGATTAAACCTGCATTTGGATCCAAACCTCAGTTGTTTGTGTCACTCCCCGACGTTACAATAAGTAACTCAAAGGTTGTTTTATAGAGGCAAATGTTGTTATGCAACAGCCTTTAAAATACATGCCATAGATAAATGACATCTGTGCTTCAGTATTGGTTTCATTGCTAAGCACACATTCTTAATTGACATTAATCACTATCCCCACAAGAATTTCAGTATTTAGAGTAGAGAATAACTTCATTAGCTTGTGCTTAATGCCAAATTTTATTTTACAGTATATTATTTTAATGTACTGTATTACTGAACACAACAAAGAAACACTGAACTGTAACACTAACTGTAATTTTTCGAAATAAGTATGAACTTTTAAACATGCATTTAGACATTAAAACATTTACCCAGAGAATAGTGTGGAGAACAAAGAAAGTTCAGGTTAAAAATTCATGTCCTGAAGGAATTGAGCAGAGATTAAGAAAAGTTATGTTTATATAATGTTAAAGGTTTACCATAAACAAACTGCTGGTAAACTAGAAAAATCTTAATTTTATTAAGCTATTTTTTAATTCATTTGTCCCTTGAGTTATGATTTGTGTACAGTAGCTGAGTAATTAATGTCTGAATCTTGAGAAAGAACATGTTTCACTCAAAACAAAATCCCAATGACAATTATAGACCCACAATAGCACCGCACATGATAAACCAGCCAGGAAACAACAAAACAAACAAACAAAATAATCACTTTTGGACTGAAAGGAGGAGGGTACTCTTACCTTGGCAATAGTCTCATGGAGTTTGAAGGCTGGATCCAAGGTTTCTCCTAATGAAGACTCAGGAGGGAAAAAGGCCTCAGAGAGAAAAAGCGCTCTCTAGGTTTGAAAAAAGAAAAGGAGGGGGAAATCAAATTAAAACACACTCACACAAGGTTGTCAAGACAGGTAGGTTTAACAGTCATAATGTACAATTTAAATAGAAATAATGAAGTAGAATATTGTTATACATGTTTTAAAAAAAATATGTTCTGTCTCATAAAGATGATCGAAACTATAATATGATTTACTGTATGATCATATATAAACTGGTTATTTTCATATTTATTAAAAGGTTTTCTCAGATTAGGTGGTTTAAAACTTGGATGCTTTTAGTCAAGCTTTTTAATCAGAAAATAAATAAATAAATAAATATTTTCATGGTAAACAAAACAGAACAAAATAACTAAAGTAAATTAAAGTAAATTAAACTAAACTAAACTAAATTAATCTAAACTAAAGATTCTACAATACTCAAGACACATCACTTGTATAGTTTTGAATAGGGAAAAGTGTCAAAAAACGGTCAATATGGAAAATAAAGCCTCGTCTATTAGTGCATGTAAATGGCTTTCTTGGCTGCTCATCAAGATAACTACAAGGTTTGTTTGAGCTCGGGTCGACTATAGCTTGTTATTATATGTATATATTATTACGATGTAATGTCTCAGCTGCGTATTAAGCAGTTCCTTTGTTTTCATTGTGGCTTGTTGCGCGAGCGAATGATGTATCGCTGTAAACCAATAGTGGTCAGCTGCGCGTCTAGCTCCACCTTTTGCTACCCTTGGTACCCTTTGCAAAGGGTGCTAAAAAAGTGGTACCGTACCACTGAGTGGAAACGGGCCATTAAATGGTAGTAGGAAAATTGCTTTTTTTTTTTTATTTCAGTACCAAAATTCAGTATCATGACAAGTCTAATATAGTAAAATAATCAGTTCATTAACTTGAGTTTGATAAATGTCATCAAAACATATGTTTGGGACAGATAACATTAGGTAACTAGAGCTATTTTTCCTTAGCTGACAAAGGGTTGTGAAATCCCTTTTTTTTTCACTTTCTATTAAGAATGGACCTGCGGTTCACTCGGAAGGGGGTGAAATTATACATTTGTGTCACTTTCTCTTCACTGGTAAGATATCCAGCCAGGTACTCAACATTCTTGTGCGACTCGTGCGATATTTCCGGGTTTTTCCCACCACAGCCTCAGTTTTACTTTTTAAATGGCGTCTGTATGAAATCAGTCTATACTGCCCGAGAGGCATTTCAAAGGTGGCTGCCAAGTAAAATGACTTGCCTTAAAGAGACTTTGACTAAACTAAACTAAACTATACTAAACTAAACTAAATTAAACTAAACTAGCTTGTAGGTTTTCAAAACTGACTGCCATAGGACAATTAACTGCAAAGATGAGACTTTATTTTGAGAAACTGGTCATGAGAAACCAGCTTTGTTTTTTATGTATATTGTTATGGTTTAATCTTTGTCTAATTAGTGTAATATCACTTAAGATGCTGCGAGCTGCTGATCCCCTGTATGTAATGAAAGTATAAAGGGATAAAGCAGCCCTGGGCAACCAAAGTGAGAAAATGATGCACAAATATGAATTTAATAAGATCTCTTCTAATTAAGTTAAGCAAAAACACTTCAAGCTGTGATGAAAAAAAAATATAAAATGAAATACCAGGAGATGAAGTCATGAAATTAAGAAATAAGAATGCAAAATACAAATTCCCAAGGATATCAATGGCTGTTTTAGACAATTTTATGAAGGACTGGTATAATCTGTGCTGTATTCTCAGCCTGTGGCAATTTCTATCTTCCTTCAATCAGCTTCCACTTCCAAAACTGAGTAAAGCTGATCAGGAAGCATTGAAATCTGAAATTACTATTCAAGAGATACCTGATGCAATCATGGGCTTTCCTATTGGGAAGGCCTTTGGGCCCAATGGCTTTGGAATTGAATTTAGTGTCAAAAAAAAATATGCAGTCAAAATTGCAGCTCTTATGCTAAAGATCTCACAATCAGCAATTGCTTTTATCTGTGCACTCTGCCAAAATTTACTTACTTTTGAAGGTAAATTTTTTTTAAAAAAAAAATGCAAAAGCAGCCATGCTATTTACCTTGTTCATACTAAAATGTTAGTTTTTTTTTTTTGTTTGTTTAACCATGATTTATACAGTAAAACCTGAGCTTAGGAAAAACCATAATGAGATACATTTTTGCTGTTCATGTTACAATGTATTTGTTTATAAATTATGCACTTGTGTAAAATTGTTCTGAGATGATAAACAAGGCTCGGAAGAAAAAAAAACAAAACTTAGGAGTACTAATGGGCCCAAAGTATGTCACAAAAATATCCCCCACAGCATAACACCACCACCAGCAGCCTGAACAGTTGATAAAAGGCAGGATGGATCCATGCTTTCATGTTCTTGGTGCCCAATTCTGACCTTACCATCTAAATGACCACCAGAAAACGAGACTCATAAGACCATACAGCTTTTCAAATCTTCTATTGTCAAATTTTGGTGAGCCAGTGCGAAATATAGCCTCAGTTTCCTGTTCTTAGCTGACAGGAGTGGCACCCCATGTGGTCTTCTGCTGTTGTAGCCCACCCGCCTCAAGGTTTAATGTTGTTTGTGTTCAGAGATACTCTTTTGCATGCCTTAGTTGTAACGAGTGGTTATTTGAGCAACTGTTGTCTTTCTATTAGCTCGACCCAGTCTGGCCGTTCTCCTCTGACTTCTGGCATCAACAAAGTATTAGTGCCCACAGAACTGCCGCTCACTGGATATTTTTTTCTTTTTTAGACCATTCTCTGTAAACCTTAGAGATGGTTGTGTGTGAAAATCCCAGTAGATCAGCAGTTTCAGAAATACTCAGACCAGCTCTGGCACCAACAACCATGCATGTTCAAAGTCACTTAACCACATTTCTTCCCCATTTTGATGCCCAGTTTGAACTGCAGTAGATCGTCTAGACCAGGGGTGCTCAACCCTGTTCCTGGAGATCAACCTTCCTAAAGAGTTCAGCTCCAACCCTGATCGAACACATCTGAATCAATTGATTAGGACCTGAACAGCACTTGATAATTACAGGCAGGTGTGTTTGACATGGGTTGCAACTGAAATCTGCAGGAAGGTCAATCTCCAGGAACAGAGTTGGTCACCCCTGGTCTAGACCATGGCTGCGTCCGAAACCCCATACTTCCATATTATAAAGTACGCTAAAATCAATATGCGAGCCGAGTAGTATGTCCGAATTCATAGAATTCAAAAATCAGTATGCGAGAAGTACCCGGATGACTTCCGGCGAGATTCTGGAGTACGCATCCCATGCATGCTGTGCTATGTCATGATGCCCCGCAAGTGAATTCATGAATGGAAGTAAAGCGACGCAACTGACGCAGGTAGGTCATGTGACCATGACAAAATGGCGTATGTAGTACGTACGAATACCATTCATACTTTTCCCGTTCATACTGTATAGAACATACTTTTCTAACAGCCGAGTAGTACGTTTAAATTCAAATGCAGTATCTACTGAGTAGTAGGCGGTTTTGGACACAGCCCATGTCTACAAACCTAAATGCATTGAGTAGCTGCCATGTGATTGGCTGATTAGAAATTTGTGTTACCAGGGTTCAACACTAAGGATTTTTTCAAGTTAATTGCTATTTATTAGCCACATATATTAAATAATGTGTTACGAAATAATGTAAGTGAATGAAATTAAATGAAATGGAATGAATTTAAATGTTTGAAAAATGTTAAAATATTTAGCAGTAAAACATAGCAGTATGGAAAATCCGCAGGCATTTTATTGCAAAACAAAAGGTGGCAGACTTAAAAGTGACAGCAAACTATGCAAAACATCAATTGATTTTTTTTTTCGTGCTGTACCCATTTAAATATTTCCACAACGTTAGAAACAGACATTTTCTTTTAGCCTCATGATTTGAGGTTACAGTCATGTTGCCGTCTATTTAAATTTAGTGAAGAGGCAGCACTGCCCCGATCGGGCCAGCAACGATTCTGTCTACTGTCCCGAGCATCTCTCACGCTGGCCCTGGGCCATCGGACAGCCCTTATTGTTGAGCCCTAGTTACTAAGCAGTTGGACAGGTGTACCTAATAAAGTGAGTGTATTTTACAAACTAAATAACTGTGATTGGCCAATCAGTGCTCAATACTGGAATGAGCTGTGAGCAAGTTCACACATTTTTAAGATTTTATATAATGATCAGAATTCTGCCGATCTTTACAAAGAAATAAACATTTAATTTCTTGACATACTCTATCACTGCATGTGCTGTAAAAAATGAACTCAGAAATTACAGTTTGACTTTTTTATATTTACCATTCATTAATTCATTTTCTTTTTGGCTTATTCCCTTTATTAATCAGGGTTCGCCACAGTGCAATAAACCGCCAACTTGTCTAGCATATGTTTTTATGCAGCGGATGCCCTTCCTGCGGTAACACAACACTGGGAAACAGCCATACACACTCTTTCATACACATACACTATGGCCAATTTAGATTATTTAACTCACCTACAGCACATGTCTTTAGACTGTAGGGGAAATCGAAGCACCTAAAGGAAACTTACGCAAACATGAGCGTTTCTGTGTCACTCCACACAGAAATGCCAACTGGCCCAGCCAAGGCTCAAACCAGTGACCTTCTTGCTGTGAGGTGATTGTTCTAACCACCGTAACGACTTAAATTTACTATATATGTTAAAAATGTATCGATTTGAGGCTCAGAATTACTTTTTGGAACTTATTTATTGAAACATAATCAGTTTGTGATTTGTAAATGCCATTCTGATTTTACTGAGCTGTTCTACAAACAAGAAGCTAATATTGAGTTACAGTACATTATTACATTATTATTACATTATTATTACATTATTACACAGTATTGTCTAGTTTTATTTCTGTTTAACCAGTGAACATGGTTACAAACACAGCTGGATAAAAACACTAATATTGCAGAGAAATATTGTTTAAATCCAGATTAAATTTGTTTTTTAAATAATGAGTTTAAAAACTATGA